GGGGGGGGGAGGATGCTCCGAATACGAAAATGTCATTAAAGTGAGAATTCACAAGTTTTCTGACCTTGAATGAGTCAAGGACATGGAATAATTGTACAGACTCTCCTAGCTGATCCCCTCTGAGAAAGTATGATGTCAAGAAAAGAGCCCGTCTGGTTAACAGCATCTGACCCCCCACCTCTCTCCACGTACAAACTCTGTGGCCGTGGGACAGGCCACTGACAGACCCTCAGTTTCTGAATCCGTAAACCGAGGACAACATTAGACATCATGTATGGACAGCCCCAACCTCAAAAGTCCAGGTTACGTGGATGAGTCACAAAATAAGCAAGAATTAGAAATCTTTTCCATTTCAAGCTGATGAGTCCTTCTAATGAAACTATCTGATACACACACGTGAACAAGTATATTGAGCTTGGGAACTTCGCCTAGCCTCAAGTTCCACATCAGTTAACTTTAATTAGATTAAGTTGTACTAGTCTACTGTATCCTTGGACAAAAATGTTCCCTCCCTTTCTACTCCTACCCTGTTCTTCCACAGGCCAGAATCACAGTCCTGCGGGCTCCTCTTTCTCAACTGCGAGGAGTTCAAATGTTTCCTTGGCCTGGGGCAACCTGAGTTCAATACACAAAAAAATCTTAGAAACAATGGGCAGGCTTTCCTCTCAGATACTAAACATTTACTCTATAATTTATAGCGTAGTTCTATTCTTATGCAGGATGGACATTCCTACTGAACTGTGTCTTTGGAAGAGAACTGGTATCATCGGCGTTTTTTGTTTTGACAACAGGAACAAAGTAACGTGTCTTTTTTATTGGTTGGGTGGCTCAGTCGGTGAAGCGAGGGCCTTCGGCTCAGGTCATGATCCCGGGGTCCTGGGATCGAGCCCCATATCGGGCTCCTTGCTCCGCGGGAAGCCTGCTTCTCCCTCTGCCTCTGCCCCTCCCCCCACCCCATGCTGGCTCGTTCTCTGTCTCAAATAAATAAATAAAATCTTAAAAAAGAAATTTTTTCTCATAACGCATACAACCCTACTGGCATTTCATTCTTAACTGTAGCAGTTCAGGTGGGTTACTTAGGATGTATGGCTACAGCCCGGTGTGTTGCCTGCACACCCAGATTTCAGAAACTGGGTCAGACTTGCTCCCCACAAAGGCAGTATTACTCTCTCTTAGTAAAGCTGTGCACGCCACCTCTGAGGACAAGAATTTATTCACCATACAGCTGTCTTGTAAAGGTATGTGCCTTTAATTTTGAGTATGACAAAAAGCACAATAAAACAGGGGCTCCTGGGTGGCTCCGTCGGTTAAGCTGCTGCCTTCGGCTCAGGTCAGGATCCCAGGGTCCTGGGATCGAGCCCCACATCAGGCTCCCTGCTGAGCAAGGAGTCTACTTCTCCTTCTGACCCTCCCCCATCTTGCACTCACGCGCTCTTTCTCAAATAAAAAAAAAACCTTTAAAAAAAGCACAGGAAAACAATATAAAGAGGAACAATGCTAGAGAATAATACTAACCCTATAAATGTCTGACCAAGAATACTCGAAATACCAAAGTGAATTTTCCATTGTGAGATAGAAGGGTCATCTTTCTTCAGAAGGAAATGCCCTCTCTAGCCCTCCTGCCCAAACAAATTATTTGCAATTTCACTTGAACTACACAAGAAAGAGCTAAGACAGAAAGCTGTTATGTTTATCTAGATCTGTTTATCTCTTTGGGGAAAGACAAACAAGGTCACCACTATCAGTCCACTTGGGTAGAGATTACAATTAAGATTACAAAAAAAATTTTTAAAGTAACAAACACTGAAGATTCAGCCACAATTACTCTTTGACTTGAAGTGAAAAAGTCAAATGACTTTATCATGTGACTTCATCAATATTAACAAGGTGATAAGTTGAAAATGGCTGTAAGAATCTAATCTTTGGTATTTACTTAATCTTTTAAAAATTAATCTTAGAATAGCTTCAATATATAATGTTAAACCAGGACCTCCTTGCACAAGCTTTAAAAAGCAGGTTATAAAAGTGTTTCAAAGAACTGTATGCACTTAAGGCACTTATTTCCTTCATCAAAGAGTTTCACACATTAGAATTTTTACTCTACTCAGAGGTTTAAAAGTTTAAGATGTGTGTGCTCACCCCAGCAGCACATATACTAAAACTGGGATGATAAAAGTTCAAGACATGTTTTTTTAAAAAAAAGGTCTGAAGTGGTTAAAAATGTAACAAGGCAACAAAAAGCCACAGAAGTGTTAATGAGATATTACGAAAGATTAAGTGAATGCCAAGAATAAGACACTGCTGTAATTCTTAAAACCACAATGGTGTTCTCTTCACATGGGGTCATCTCTCACACTGGAAAGAAGCCTGCTCCCCAGCCGCTTGCACTGCCTAATGACCGTGACCTTGTGGACACTTGCATTTGGCCTCAGTTATCTATTTGTCTCTCAAGGATTTGGGTAATGGGCTCTTACCACTTTTCCTGAGAGAAAAGAAAATCCTTCTCTGTTAAAAATGATTATAAGGAAACATGAATAAAAGTGTTACTATTTTATAGATAACTATTGAAGACTTGCTAGAAGAGCATATTATGGTCAGAACAGGTGACTTTATTAAACTTTTTAACATCCTTATTTAAAAAGGAGAAAGTGCTCAAAACCTGACTAAATACCACCAAAATTAGCAGTAGTACATTGTTTTTGGCATCTGGCACAATGGTCTAAAATTCTAAAGAAAAGAAGTGGTGAAAGACATTAACACACTACCGTGTAAAATTGAAGTACTGGAAAGTTCTTTGGCTTCCCACAAGTTGTCTCTTGCAACGAATCCACAGCCAGAAAACATACAGCAATTCTCTCAGAGCTCAGACCTGGTCTGCAAGCTCTGTATGGAAGCTCCTGGCCTTGGGACACAAACAGGCCCTGACACACAGCAACAGAAGGAAGCAATAATCCCAAACCCAGAGGCAACAAACAAGAGGGAACAGAGTCAGGGAGACTCACAGCTCTGGCGCGGTCACGGAAGCGAGGGCCTGAGTCAGGTCCTGGACCAGCTATGGCAGGATGCGCGGCGCGGACTAGGCACGGGGAGCTCATCACCACACGGGTGCTAGCTCTACCTTTAACAAAGGCTCACGTGGTGACTTGGGCCAGCTTGATTAATTTCCTTGGAAATCTGCTTCCTCACCAGCAAAAGGATGCCTCGCCTCTTCCTTATGAATCAAAGAAATGATATCAAGGTGTTTTTCCAGGCTGTTATTAACAGCGGCTATAGGGTTTTGCCAAATCTCTCTATATGCCAAGCGCTGTGCCATTTAGTTCCTAAAGCAACCTGCAATTCAATGTGATCCTTGTTTCACAGATGGGAAAACTGAGGTTCCGAGTGCAAGCTGACATTTAAGTATATCACACTACACAGAAAGACTCAGGAAATGGTGTTGATTGTGTAAGAAATCCCAATTTTACCTGAGACGACACCGTGTGTGCTTAGAGATAAACTGATATCCTAACACATTTAAGTTATGTTTAAAAATCTATTTAACTCAGGGGTGCCTGGTGGCGCAGTCGGTTAAGCGTCGACTCTTGGTTTCAGCTCAGGTCATGATCTCAGGGTCGTGAGATGGAGCCCTGTGTCAGGCTCCATGCTCAGTGCAGAGTCTGTTTGGGATTCTCTCTCCCTCTGCAGCCCCCTGCTCACATGCATGTGCTCTCTTTCTCACATAAACAGAATCTTAAAAAAAAAAACAAAAACTACTTAACTCAGACTTTTCACTGTTAGTGTTTTATGTCATATTTCATATGGACCAGAACTCCCCAAATTAAGAATTTTGATAATACTTTAATAACCATGCTAACTATGAGAGTACTGAAACAAATCCTTCTAGATCTCTAACATGAAACGCACCCACTTTCCATCACTATTTGCAGACTGTGCCCGGCTATGCTTACAGCCCCAATGTTTACGTAGCCACATCTCAGCGTTCTATCTCGCCTGGACTTCTCCTTCATCCACCTGCTGTCCCACCTGTGCCTCCCTAAAATCCATTCCACACGGACCCACCGGAATCAGTTTTTGGAAACAGACAAACATTATGTCCTTTGAAACCCTTCAATGGGGGCGCCTGGCTGGCTCAGTTGGTTAAGCATCTGCCTTTGGCTCAGGTCATGATCTCAGGGTCCTGAAAATGAGCCCTGCTCAGTGGGGACTCTGCTTCTTCCTCTCCCTCCGCCCCTCCCCCTGCTCATGCTCTATCAAATAAATAAATTAGATCTTAAAAAAAAAAAAAACCCTTCAATGGATGCCAAATACTTTTCTTTTATATAAAAGATTTTATTTATTTATTTAAC